ATTATTATTTAGTAGCACTTAATTTAGGAGCTGCACGATGTTATCAACGGACTCACCACTTTAGTGGCTCGCTATCTGACTTCAATTTGATCGTATGAATGATCGCTGTCGAAATAGACATATCGCCAATCCTCGTATAAAATTATCGGCGTAACTCGCATTAGTGTATAACGGAATCGGATAGGTCAAATACGATAATGGATTTCAAATACGTATATTTTGTGCAATCGCTGATCGGAACAGATAATCAGAGAGACGTAGTGAAGGAGCCGAAGAATAGAGAGCTCAACGAGACAGCGTGCAGTGCAGAATGCATGAATGCATTTAATCAAGCGTTAATCAATATTTCTAGTCAAAAAAAATTAGTTAGACACATGTGATGAGTAGGATAAGTAGTGCGCACACATACACTCATATAACAACAGTCAAGATTGTTAAGCGAATAATGAACAAGGTCAAAATGTGAATGAGTATATTGACCTGTCAAGAAGCTGGAATAAATTATATCGCTTGAACATAGTAACAGTCACTACAGCTAGATAAATTAAGTTTGTAAAGAAAAGTAATACCCTGTTCAAATTATCTGACGATTCGCGATGTATGTTTACCAGCTATGACAATTAGAAAGATTATTATCATCCATATCTAAGCAAAGTTGCTTTAATGAACTACACAACTACTTCAACTGATTGTAATAATAATAGTAATAATCAACATTCCCGTGTAACACAGCGAAACTGATGATGCATTATACACTTTAATAGATCCATCTAAGCAGGTAATATTGATGAATAAAAACAATAATTCGAATCGATCACATCATGACAATGATCTAATCACATTTAATTGTTAATCTCTCGCGCGATACTGATAGGCCGTGAGTTCGAATCTCGCAAGGAGACGCCGTGGATACGCACTGCTGAGGAGCCACACAATAGGTCGAAACGGTCGTCCAGTGCTTCTAGGTTTTCATGGTGGTCTAGCTTCAATTGATTCATGATCTAAAGTATTGAAATTACTGGTCTTGGAATTTGACGTCGATTTTCGGTAGACTCTTATCGTCATTTACACTGTAGACGAAATCCGCACCATCTGAATATGAATGTATCTGTCTCTTCGATTTATCATTCTTCAGATAGTTAAATGTGCAGCATTATTAGTAATAGATATACAAAGTAAACAAACGAAGAAAGAACAAACGTGTAAACTAATCAAACGGATAGTAAAATGCGTATGGTAAATTTATCGAATGGTTTGATACTGAAGTACAACTTTTAAGAATAGAAATATGATGATTGTTGTGGTAGAACAAACAATGAATTCCGATGTATACACTCGTCTAGAAAGAGAGTATGATCTGATTGCTTTGATGATGGATAATCTACCATACAGAATGATGAAGATTACAACTCAACAGTAATTGAAGAAGGTGAGAACAAATATTTGAGTAGATTAACATATACTCATTTCGATGGAGTTTTGCTCTCTGAGCTGGATGGTTTGCTCGTGGAGCTTTCATCGTTCTCCTGAACAACATCATTAGCACAAACGTCATATAGAAGTGGAATGTTCGAATTTCTCTGATGATGTCATTCAGAAGAACGATGAAAGCTCCACGACCAAACCATCCAGCTCAGAGAACAAAACTGCATTAAAATCGTCCACCTGAGCTACAAATCTTCTCCACCATCTCATAAACTCATTTCATTCAACTAGGTTCTCGTCAGTTACTTATAATCTATAATATTTGAAAATCTAAATTATCACAGGACTCAACATACTTACATAAATGAAGTTGGCTATATGTAAATAGCTAGTTTAATAAAAGGGGATATAGATTCTCTCCATTCAAATTTGTAAGGTTGATGAGTAAATGTAGTAATCAACTAAGGGCTTCACTAATTTTCTCCTGACAACCATTCAGTTAACATGTAATTGATTTGATTACTAATAAGTTCAATCGAGTACATTCAAGTACTTTCACTCAAGAAATACAACAACTAGATATTCGGTCAACAAACATGTAATATTCAAACATAAATCAAATAAATTAAGTGATTATCATGGATTCCTGAGTGAAAGAACACTTTCATTAAAGCTAATGACTCATTAAATGAGTGTAGAATATACTCGAATATACTAGATGATGAATGGTGAATGCGATCACTCATTTAATGTAATTCAACAAACCTATTCTATTATGTACTTCGTCTTTTGTAGTGACCAGCACTTACTCCGTTCACACAAATGGTGATATGATTTATAATTATGATTATTATTATTATGATGATCATTATGAGTCCGAACAAACCAATAGACAACATGAAATCAGAGCGCCTAGTTCACCTCAAACAACATCTCCAAAATCATTACTAACAGAGAGCAGGTCACCACTAGATCTCATGTGATCTAAGCATTTGAATATAATCAAACTACAACAACTTAATCATTCACAACTTATTCAAATCAAAATGGAAAGCTATGATCACTTAAATGTTTTATTTTAAACAACAGATCGACCACAAACGATCACCACAACACTTCTCAACGAAATAAAGTAACAATCGTCAAGTGAAATGACATTCATACATTTCATGTTCATAGAAGTAATACAGGTAATTTAACCATATCGTGGAAGCGGAATTGCACGTTCCATTCTCGGTGGATTTTCATGGTCTACCGCAAGTGAATATTCTCCAACTTCCAGTTCGTCATTGTTCGATACATCGATATTTTATGTGAAGTATTAACATGATGAACAAAAAATAAATAGTCAGAAATTGTTGTACTGGTTGTTTCGTTAAACTGTCTAACTAGTCAGTGAATTCCCTGAATTTAAATGATACTCGACAACTTATTGACAATCATAACATTCTGATGATCGTGATAATAAAAGAGAATCACTAATTTTTGTCTTCCATTAGATAGACATGTAGTCGAAGTAATCCATTCTCTTGTTCGACTTATAATATCGGATTACTCACTAACCCTAATCAATGTATCCGTCGCTAGACCAGATGTATATTTCGATATCAACCATCATATAAGATAACTGGAGTCCGACATCGAGCATAAAAGTGAAATAGCAGTCCATTAAACTGTCGTGACTCATCTGAAAATCAATATTCGATGTGTGTGTGTGTACAAGGCCTATGATGTTCTAGTCCACTTAATGAATAGATGTCGCATGCAAAGGCGATTCTCAATGTGGAATTCATTTCAAGCTGTAACATTCACCGTGATTGCTTCTTTCGATCCACCAACTTGCTATGCACTACAATCACATGTACATCTGAATGGATGTAGGTAATTATGATGGACTACTCAGTGAAAAGTACACCTCGATTAACGAACGCTACTATTGATGAGTGTAGTTTATAACAAACGATCATCAACATTTTAATCAAGATTACACCTACCTGTTGACAATGAATTGATTCTACTCATCTCCAGTATTATGTATGTTATAATCTGAATAATCAACAATTTCCAATACATAATAGTAAACTAAGTACAGTAATGTTGATCACTTATCTCTTATCTGCTCAACTGTGTCGATACAGATGTCTGTATATATATATATAGACAGATAGATAGATGTAGATGGTGAATATTTAACGACATAGTTCAGGTCATTAGATAATCATTAGATATTTATGACTTGGCAACAAATAACTCATCATAGTGATTGATGTTTATTTATATAAATCGAGTCAAATGATTCAATTGTTTACCTTTTTTATTACAACTCAATTATTCATTATTCATTATTCACATATATAATGACTTCTCTACTCAATAGTTGGCGCCCAATTTCTGTCAAACTCTCCGTTTGGAAATCCAGTGGTGTTTAATTACCAGGCAATCGTTATTTCATACAAACACCACAGTTAGCTAACGTAATTGGAAATAAACCTTGATCGGTATAACATATTACACATGACAATACATTATCTAATAGTCCATGTGGTATAGCTGTTACATCAGTTGGACAGATTGAAATACGAAATGGACCCTCTGAAATACTACGTTGTATAAATAGGGAAAATGTTTACAAGAAACAAAATACACTCATGACTAGATGTAAACGAGCAAATAGATTGTGAGAAGATGACAGTAACTTCTTGTAGTTCTGTTGATGCATGCTGTGCATGGTATGCATGGTATGCATGGTATTAATTGTAAACGTAGGATGGATAATTTTGACTGAGATATCGAGGACAGTTAACTGTGCATTGTTGCGCTGAATAGAAATTCGGACTTGCGGTGGGCGGAGAGATGCTTGATCACATCCTAATGTTCGTGTTTGATTCCTCTCACTCCACTCTGCACGTATTAATAGATCGATTCGGCGAATAGCTGTTATCTTGCATCGAAAAGCTACAATCTCACACGTAATAATCACGCATGACTTTATTAATGTTCAAGTATGTAGGTTACAACTTGCTAACCAATTTAGCTCTACATGATAATGGTAAACTGTTGAAAGTGGCATGGTAGGATACAATTCAAATCAGTCGTAAACTATAATCAATTTACGGACCTCAATGTGATGGTATTTACCAACCGAATCAAACAGAAATCCCTTTCACAAAAAGAACGATTGTCTGACTTTAGAGGATGTGTGTATTTGACAAAATCGTAAACCCACATAATGATAATGATGGATGAGTTATTACACAATCTTCAACAACATTTCAATTAGTTCGCTTAATCTAATTGTTAGTCAGATGAATTCCAATGCCCATCTCCATCAAACTCATCCATTATCACTCGATATTCAAATGCATAAACAATCACCTTGACAACAAGTTATTCATTGGATAATGAATAACTTGTTATTAGTATTGAAATATAATGTGAAATTTCACACACACTTCAAATGATTGTGATGCACTTGAAAATGGTCTACTCATTAAAGGACTGACATCATCGTGAGAAAATCTCTCTCTATATAAATATTATTGTATCTATATACAATAATATACACTCATTGGATTTGCAAATTATGATTTCAGTAAGAGTATTGGTTATTGACATGGTGTAGATAAGCCACCTTATTTCATCTGAATCTTTTATACTGTTCTTCGTTTTAGTTGCTGTCAATAGTCCAGATCTAAGCATCTATGTATTGGGAAGTAAGTTCCTATGTGATGATGTTGTATGAAATGTAATTTAATGATGTTTACTGATGAGTATAGCTAGCTGTCTGTTTAATGTAGTAAAGTGGTTATTCGTTTGTTATCTTATTCTAATTCATGTACATCGGATGATATCATATTTAAATCACATGATCCAACTCAGTTAAACTAGCTGATCGTAGTTATGTCACCATTTAAGTTTTCCAATTCACTGTAACTACAGTCTTCATAGTTGATTCAACCAAACAAGAGGATGAAGAACTTTCATATAAATTTGAACGAACACTGACAGCATTTGATTTCCGAGTTAATGTGAGTCATTAAGGAAGAAGAATGTATTTGTAAAATGTCAGAGTTTTGGTTTGAATTAAATCCAACGTTTCGCTCGATGGTCTCGTTTAAGCTTGATCAAGGAACTACGAGTATTTACTTGAAATTCAATCGTTGACATTTTATAAATTCATTCTTCCTCCTTAATGTCTAATCAAGTGTTAGATTGATTATGAGTGGTATACAGAAAAAATTATACCGATTGTATCGTTCATGTCATTTGATAAAACAATCTACGATATTGATCATGAAATGATTAACCGATGCATAGTATTCTGTTGAACGATTCATTATTAGCGAATCATTAATAAATTCTGAATGAAAGATGAGCTCTTGATGGCGTCAATCCATATTTGTTTGCTGTATGTTCAAGCAGGTCGAACGTTCAATCGGATAATCAGTTATGATCGCTTACCAACCTGAATATGGGTATACATATTTAATAGAAACCCGATCACAATTGAGATGGCATGTACCATATCACGTTTATTATGAATCATGAAGCCTCTGTTTATCGTGTGTTAAATAGTTGAGAGAGAGACAGAGTATAACAATCGAGAGTGTCAATCTCATCGACTATTTAATCTTAATACTGTATAGGCTATTACTTGATTTCAGTTGGATTCTCTTTTGTAAATGAATCTCACAAGTAGTTTATGGATTAACCCTTATGTTACATAATCACAGATTATTTCATTTTGATTAAAATTGTTCCAGCTCCTCAAATGATAAACTATACTGTTGCATCTATCCAAAAGGAAGTTCACAATGTACACTTTCTGAATTTTCTCTCCAAAATATCATCAAATCCATTTGACAATCAATCAATAACAAGTTAGTTTTATTTATTGAATGTGTATATGCGATTTGAATGAGACTATAATTTATGGACGACCATTGAGTGAAGTTGAAATGACGTTGGAAATGTTCACCTACTAACTAGAACTGCATGATGATTATAACCGAGTTTGAGGAATTACAATCAGGATTTACAGTTGTCGGTTAATGTGTAGTGACTCACATTTATCACGAGAACACGACTGGTTTAATAAAAACAATTATTATTATAACCAACTGTACTAGTGTTTGTTTTAACGTGCTTTTGTTTGACTGTGCTAATGACAGCTATTTTGTGCCTCCATTCTTTTACTTACACTTTGATTGTAACTTCGCGTGGATTCGGTTACCTTCTGTAACCAAGGTTGTACCCTGGCACGATCTCGGTATCCTTTCGATGCCACGAGATCGCCAGCTAATAAACCTCGATTTGGTCCATTAATTGCCTTCTGATATTTGGCTTCACGGGGATTTTATGGATCTATTTGGTTACGTCCAACCTTCGCCTTCTGATTTGTGTGGCACGTGTTTCTTGGTAGCGGTGTTCACAGTTAATCTCAACTCGACGCCACGCTACAAATGTTAGGAATTCCATTCGGGGTTTTCATCATCAACTGTCATCAGTTGAAATACTAAAATACAATTTAGCTGATGAATTTCACGCTGAATTGCAAGACCTGTTATCTTAAATCCTATTGTTTCTTTTAGAAATTATAGTCTCTCCGTGATTTCTTTTTGTATATTGATGTTTAATTATGAGAAAATAGAATCACATCATTAAATGTATTGCTTTCTTCAGAATTTATAGTCTGTTTTTAATCAATTAAGGTGAGAGAAATGAATCAGGAATGAGTAGGACTATCTCTCTCTGTAATGATACTAGCTGTTAAGAAAGTAGGAAGTCGAAATAGAGGAACTTATAACATTAAAACTCAATATAAGTCAGAAGAGTAAGACCAAACAACAAACTACACCGATAAATGGAGACAGAAATGAGAAGAATGAACAAGAATTGGATAGAACTAGAAAGGTAGATACATGACAGATTGAGTTTGAGAATGGTGGTCAAGGCTCTACGCTCCATTGGGGGTAAAAATGTAAGTAAGTAAGCAAGTAAGTAAGTAAGTAAGTAAGTAAGTAAGTAAGTAAGTAAGTAAGTAAGTAAGTAAGTAAGTAAGTAAGTAAGTAAGTAAGTAAGTAAGTAAGTAAGTAAGTAAGTAAGTAAGTAAGTAAGTAAGTAAGTAAGTAAGTAAGTAAGTAAGTAAGTAAGTAAGTAAATACTTATTGTTTAGTCGATTGTTCATTTTACTGTTTACTATCAAAACTATCAGATTACTAAACATTCAACTCGAACTAATTAACAAAATCTCATATCTTAATTGATTTCTATTTCAGATGAAAGGAAAGTGTTCAAATACAATGAAACTGATCATATCTCTGAACTCCAAACTACTGTATTGCCGGATAAAGCTAACGGTGCAACAAAATCACATTGGAAGAAGGAACGATCTAAGATGATTAAGGTCAAATAATTAAATTGTTCAGATAAAATTGAAAGCTGTTTCTATCCTTAACAGCAAATTGAACTATATTCATATATGTTTACTGAAATGAATGCTGTTTTATAAGACAACATAGAGATATAGAGATTGATATTTCTCTTATATTTCGATAATACAATGAGAAGATGAAAGTGATCGGAATTATGTAACGATATATTTGTGCAATACATTTCGATCACACATAATATACTACTCGTTTAGACATTTTTGTACGAGAACTTATAGGTCAACTGTAGATAGATGAAAGGTGTTTGTGGTTTCACACCAATAATCATTTTGTCGCGACAATCAGCTGTGTATTTCTGAACTCGCGATTCCATCCAATATCCAGTCTGAAGAAGCACACTGAATATGGATCTCAACACGGCTGATGTTTTAGTTAGCTTGTGCAGCTTCAAAATCAGATGAGCTGTTTCAACGAAGTTCGTACTGCTTTGTTCTTGAAGCGTCGCCGCAGGTCTAAAAGCATTTGACCACTTTTGTTTCTTAAGCAACAAGCGACCTCTCACATATCTGTAGAAAATTCCGTCTGATGCTTCAATAAATGAAACTACAGAAGACTGTAATGTATTAGGATTTGTTTCACCTTTCCACACTTCGAGTGAACATGAGGGAGGGAAAGTTGTACAATTTCGGACCACAGACTCTCCGATGACGGTTAACAGGTTTATGTCAAGCAACGAATAACTTACCCAACTAGACAGAATAAAGGTAAGCTGTTAAAAAGAAAAACAAAGTAGACAAATACAAAAACAATGTGATAATCACTCTGGATAATAAATCAGTATTATCGGGGTAGGTTAAGGGTGAGAAGAAATTGCATTTGAACACATAAATAAGGTTTCAGTTCCTGCATAGCCGAGGCTTCAAATAATCTTCGTATATGTCCTTGAAGGCTTTTGTACAATACCACAAATGCTGACATGATATCAACCTGATGACCAGTGTCAAGTAAATGTTTCACAATGGAGGAAGATGACTGTTTATTCTGTGATCTTATTTGACCATTGTAATTCATTTGTTTCTGCAGTCATTCAGGTATATGTTCCGTCAATTGCTCTTCCCTATGTACGTGTTTTGGAACATGCATGTAAATTGGTAGAAACAGTGAGATGTGACATAATCGCTTCTGCGTTGTTTGGGATTTTGGTGTAACATAGACTTTTTCTTTTGAATAATGACAAGTTGAACTGCATAAAATGTCCTGTCAATGGCTAATTCAACATGAGACTATTTGAGTCGCCTCTAAGTGGTGACATAATGCAAATTCGGTGTTTGGATGCCAGAAGCATCAGAAGTAGATGTGCACATGGCAACTCGAGATATTATCACTTAATATTTTACAATAGTTGAAAAAGTCTAACCTTCACTATATACAAATTAATTTATGCAAACCTTATTCTCGACAATGTCTATGAGCAAAGCTGTTAGCGATTATGTTTTGGCACGAATGAATTTTATTTCATTTTATTCATGTCAAATAGTAATAATAATAATGTTAACGATAATGTAGATGAATATTGGTAAAGATTAGAACGGAGTGTTTGACAGAAATTGGGCGCCAACTATTGAGTAGAGAAGTCATTATATATGTGAATAATGAATAATGAATAATTGAGTTGTAATAAAAAAGGTAAACAATTGAATCATTTGACTCGATTTATATAAATAAACATCAATCACTATGATGAGTTATTTGTTGCCAAGTCATAAATATCTAATGATTATCTAATGACCTGAACTATGTCGTTAAATATTCACCATCTACATCTATCTATCTGTCTATATATATATATACAGACATCTGTATCGACACAGTTGAGCAGATAAGAGATAAGTGATCAACATTACTGTACTTAGTTTACTATTATGTATTGGAAATTGTTGATTATTCAGATTATAACATACATAATACTGGAGATGAGTAGAATCAATTCATTGTCAACAGGTAGGTGTAATCTTGATTAAAATGTTGATGATCGTTTGTTATAAACTACACTCATCAATAGTAGCGTTCGTTAATCGAGGTGTACTTTTCACTGAGTAGTCCATCATAATTACCTACATCCATTCAGATGTACATGTGATTGTAGTGCATAGCAAGTTGGTGGATCGAAAGAAGCAATCACGGTGAATGTTACAGCTTGAAATGAATTCCACATTGAGAATCGCCTTTGCATGCGACATCTATTCATTAAGTGGACTAGAACATCATAGGCCTTGTACACACACACACATCGAATATTGATTTTCAGATGAGTCACGACAGTTTAATGGACTGCTATTTCACTTTTATGCTCGATGTCGGACTCCAGTTATCTTATATGATGGTTGATATCGAAATATACATCTGGCCTAACGACGGATACAATGATTAGGGTTAGTGAGTAATCCGATATTATAAGTCGAACAAGAGAATGGATTACTTCGACTACATGTCTATCTAATGGAAGACAAAAATTAGTGATTCTCTTTTATTATCACGATCATCAGAATGTTATGATTGTCAATAAGTTGTCGAGTATCATTTAAATTCAGGGAATTCACTGACTAGTTAGACAGTTTAACGAAACAACCAGTACAACAATTTCTGACTATTTATTTTTTGTTCATCATGTTAATACTTCACATAAAATATCGATGTATCGAACAATGACGAACTGGAAGTTGGAGAATATTCACTTGCGGTAGACCATGAAAATCCACCGAGAATGGAACGTGCAATTCCGCTTCCACGATATGGTTAAATTACCTGTATTACTTCTATGAACATGAAATGTATGAATGTCATTTCACTTGACGATTGTTACTTTATTTCGTTGAGAAGTGTTGTGGTGATCGTTTGTGGTCGATCTGTTGTTTAAAATAAAACATTTAAGTGATCATAGCTTTCCATTTTGATTTGAATAAGTTGTGAATGATTAAGTTGTTGTAGTTTGATTATATTCAAATGCTTAGATCACATGCGATCTGGTGCTGACCTGCTCTCTGTTAGTAATGATTTTGGAGATGTTGTTTGAGGTGAACTAGGCGCTCTGATTTCATGTTGTCTATTGGTTTGTTAGAAGTCATGATAAGACTATTGAATCATATCACCATATGTGTGAATGGAGTAATTACTGATCGCTACTGAAGAGAAAATGCATAATACAATAGGTTTGTTGAATTACATTAGATGAGTGATCACATTCACCAGCTTTACTTCCTGTAACCAGGTTTGGTGTTGTCGAAGACATCGATAAAGATACACATTTCAAACGATCTTGCACTCACAGATTTCATGAGAGTGGCCATTACGTGTTTTGACAGTTTATTGGTTCACTCAAGTGCAATTAGGTCTTCTTAATCGAGTAAATACCTCAAACAACTACCATAAAATAACTTGTAATTTCCCAGTTTAATTCGAGTTGATTAAGAAATACAGAGCGATCTTATTTGAATTGTTCCGTTTGTTCAATCATTCATCATGATGTGTTCATAAAATGTGATTGATACAAGAGGTTTATGTCTCCTGAAATAAAGTTGCGGTGTACGACGATACATCTTTTTTATCACAGGGTTCCTTATGTCCTTTATGCTGACATTTAATGCAACGGTAGATTTTATATGGACAAAACTTCTTGTAGTGCCACTCATGGCATAATCAGCACGAGGATGTAGGCTGTTTGTTTGATTTGTCCTGCTTACGTACAAAAGAAACTTCCTGGCCATTTATTACCTGTATGTGTGGTGACCGGTCACTGTTTTCAACCATAGAAGTGTCATGTTTTAAGTTCATTAACCCCTGACACTCACTAGTCACTTGTAGAGTTTTATTTGGACACTGTTCAATTTTACTCAGAATTTTGGTTCTGATGTCGGCACCTTTAGGTGACTGCAAGCTGCATACAAAAACGAGACACTTAAACTGGTCTTCTGTTATTGCTGACAATTTACTATGTCAGCATGTTGCACCAAGTCTTCATCTCTGGCTTTTGCTAACTTGATATTTTGGTAACCAATATTGAACAAAAACGACTGCTCATCAAAGATTTGTGACAAAATTACGACCGTTGCATCAGATGATAGGTCTCTGGGATTCTTCTGGAGAATGAAGTTGATGTAGCGTTCATGTCCAGCTGTGCCAAGTTTGTGTAGTAGACCTCTTACCTCTGTGGCATCATCTAACTTTTCTAGGTCTACCTTGAATACATATTCGTATTTCTTGAACCATGACTCAATTGTAACACCAGCTTAATCATCAAAATGAAATTCGTGAATAGAATTAATAATGTGGTCGACATGAAATTTTAACGGATCATCTTTAAGCCCCTTTCGATTTAGGTTCATTTGCTGGGTTAGAATTTCTAGAATACGAAACTGAAAGTGCTCGTAACGTTTTTCTTGCCGCTCCAGCAAAGCTTCAACTAGGTCAAAGGTAAATGACATCTTCATAAGTTAACCCCGTCGCCAGTTGTTATATATAAAACTTAGATTCTTAATATACCACGTATAACTTGAGCACTCGGACGCTAGAACCTTCCAAGTCGCGAATCAGAACAGAATTGTCAGGTATTTATAGTTTTTTAGCATCATCATTATAGTCATTCAATCCGTATACGGGGGTTATTAGCAATTGTCCAGTAGAGAAGCTACACATCGAGATTCTGAGAATATTCTTCCAAAAAATGATTGAATAGATTATCTCCACCTCTTTTTAAACTTCATAGAACGTCTTTAAATTAATTTATGATCTATCTTCATATAGTTTTTTTAAGATAATTATAATAGTTGAAATTATAAGTCAATTGAAGCTAGACCATCATGGAAAACCTAAAAGCATTGAACGACCGTTTCGCCCTAGTATGGAACTCCCCAGCAATGCGCATCCACGACCCGGACCCCCGAGAGATTCGAACCCTGAACCTATCAGTCTCGTGCGCGAACGATTAACCACTAGACAACTGAGCCGACCTGTATCCAACGCCTTC